ATAGTTAGATTGATGTTTATTATGTAAATAAAATTTTGATAGCCTCTGTGTCAAAACTTTTTGAACCGCCCACGTAGCTCTGTGTCAACTATTTCATATGACGCGGTGATACCACAGAACAATGACCGGAGAATCGCGCAGAGCACGCATGGAAGTGTTAAATTTGTGTTTGATAAAATGAAAAATATTTATGTGGCGCCACTACATTTGAATTCCAATTATGCAATGAAGAGGCAACTTGCTTATTATCGGCGAAGAGCATACATCAAATAATGATAACCGAATACTTCTCATACCTTGCTTATTAGTCGACAAGAGATTACGCCTAAGGCAACTTGCTTATTAGTCACTAGCGTTTTTCCTTACATCAAGGTATCGGTATCGAAAACAAAGAACAAAGATAATGATAACAATAATAATAATATGATCGATAATGATTTCAATAATTCACCCTTCGGCAGTAACCAACTTACTTTTTCGGCCTGGGGGAAGAGTTGTTTATATAATGAATTTCATAACACTATTCAAACTCGCACTTCTGTATTCCACTTCCCTCTCAGACGTCTACTCGCGAATTGTCACTGTTTATGATCAAATGATCAAGTTGGTTTTCGTTATCACAAATCAAAATACTCGGGTGGAATTTTTGACCATTTAAATAATTCCGTAGTAAACAGCGAATTTGTGCGAAAAATAAACTTAGTACTGACAGTATGCTTTTATCCAAATGATACCATTAATAAAAAGACATATAAATGGGCACTTACTGTCATAGTCGTTTTAAATACGCTGTTCCTCTAACTTGCAAAAAAACAGTTCAGAGGTAGCCAAGGCGTTTAAGAAAATTTATGAGAACCCGAATATCCCTCTTACCTGGCCTGATTTATTACAATCTGACGGCGGTAGAGAATTTATGGGAGAAACTTTCAAGCTTATGCAAGAGCATAATGTAATAATACGAGCCATTGGTACGTACAGTCATCGTGGCATGGCGATTGTGGAACGATTTAATAAAACTTTAGCGGAAATATTATAAAGTCCAATATGCCGTTGAAAGTCTAACTTCGAACCTTAAATTAATAAGAGAGTGGGTTAAGTATCAATTACCTAAATAATTATCCTACACGTCTCATTCGAGCTCCAGGTTCATCAAAATGGGGATTAGCTCCGGCAAAGGCTATCAAACTGGAACGAATAGAATCTGGGCTATCTACAAAGTATAAGCGTCCGGTTGGAAAATATGAGGAGAATAGATTGAAAAAAGGTGATACAGTCCGTTATTTGTTAGCCAATGGAGAGTGGGAAGGCTCACCAGGTTTAGAGAATCGCAGAAGCACAGATCCGATATGGAGTCCTTCATTAAATAAAATTCGCAAAATTGTAATAACGAAAAATGAACCAGTTTTATATTATTTAGATGGAGAATTCGCACCAAAGCGTGGATTTGTGAAAGGGGAACTTTTATATGTGAATATTGATACGCTTCAATACCCGCCCCAGAGTATATTGGAAGAAAATACTCGTTTCAGGTCTGTTAATTATTAATAAAATAACTAAAGCCGTTGCATATGCTGAGAAGCGTGGCGGAAAATGTCTTGGTAGATCGTGAGGAACTTTTATTCATAGCGAGGTGCTCACTAGGGCCCAGTTTAAGCTATTTTTATCTGTTTACATATTCTGCAAAAGAAGAGAATAAAAACCTAAGGGGTCGGGGTATCTATAGACTTGGGGAAATGTATCTATTTGTGATTCTGTTTGTGAAAATGTCTTGGTAAAACTGGCCGAATAAATGATTTCATATCTTTGGTCAGGGCTAAAAACGGACGGATCGTGTGAAATTAACAGATCTGCAATTCGATTACTTTAAGCGATAAACAGAATGATAGGACTTCTAAATTAGGAAAAGTAGACAACAATCAAGCAAAATCAATCTCTTTTAATTGATTGCCAGAATAAATTTATCTTTTTTAAGGTTTCTTTATTAGGCAGGGTTTCGCCAAACAATTATTAATATTCTTTCCATTTTTGAAATTTATCCACCATTAACTTCAAGAGGACGGCAGTGTATGCCACTTCTTATGTATTGTTTATTGCTTGATGGGTTATCCAACAAGTTTGCGCGCTAATCATACAATTCTATATCAGCTTACGAATCAACATTTAAAATTAGTCAAATACTATACTGCGTACGCTTTGCCGAACTTTTCAATTACATTCACCAAATGAATCGTTCTGTAAATTCACTGTATTTTTCCTAATCTTCGACAATGGCGTAATGCAGGTTTTTTGTGAGAATAAACGTTATTTCGATCAAATGTGTTATACGATTCATATTCAGTGGTACATGCAATGTCTCCGAAATAAACATTCTGAACTTTCAATGTTTTACGTATGTGAATGCGGTTTTGGGAATCAGACGGAGCTTACGTTGTTACGCATGACAGCCAAAGCATATCAACATAATCGACAAGCAGTAGTTTGTTACGTGTATATTATTTATCGTGGGGGTAAAACTTATGTGTATACAGACAGTATAATGGAAAGACGTAATAGTAGTAATATCATAAGTTACTTGCGCTTATATAGATTATTATTTTTGATGCCAAAACTTACCAATGTTAAAAGAGCATAATTTACAACAATCCAGTTGTTTATGCGCATGTAGAGTTGATATCGTGATGTCAATAAAAACTTTATAAAGTTTTTACCCGATAGTCTTTAATATTCCGATCTGACATACAACACTAATTATTCCAGCACATACAAACGCGCTCGTTGATAGACTACCTCGCCACGTATTACATGAGTGATACACATTAAATGGTCATCAATGACATTAGCCAGATGATATGTAGGATAACCGTCACTTTTTAAAAGTATAGCATCGTCTACGGTCTTTCCACTAAACTTGACCGGGCCATGAACCAAATCTTTTACTGTAAATCATCGTCCGGCACCTAACAAAATATTAAATATTGGTGACGTTCTGTATATCTTAAATTACAACATCAACAAAGTAAAACCGACCTTGAGTCGAATAGTATATGGAAGTCCTTGCGATATATTTTCATCTATTTCTTTGGCAGTCAAATGTAAGCAGTGTCTGTCGTACACCTTCTCCCGTCCACTCTTCTGTGATTCTAAGCGAATTTATTGAAGTCTTTCATGAGTACAGAAACATCTATAAACTTTGTTTTCCTAAATTAATACAACAAATAAATGGGTTCGAGACGAGTACATATTTTGTAACATCGTTGTAGATAATAGAGCTCTTCTAACTTACACTGAGCAAATCTATTTATGTGAATGTCAAACAAATCGTAACGTTTAAACACAAAAGTCCACGCACTTGACGATACGGTTCATGCTCTCCTTTACCAGGTCCTACAAATTTATAAGTCTTAATAAGCATCCAACCGTTCCATTCGTCCGCATACCTACTGCTGATACGGTCGAGTAATACTAGATTGTATTTTTTTACTAAATGCTTATAGATAAAGGACTCGGAAATAAACACATCATTCCAGAATCAGTGCTGCACACGAAAATGCCCTTACAAATGCTAATGTACATTCAGCTCGTGAAGAATTTTGTTTGCGCCTGCAACAATCAGACGATGTTCTACAGAATGTATACGTGTCTGTAAATCGTTTAACGTGTCTGTCTCTAATATAGCAACTTCTTCAGACACGATCAGTTCACCACTGTCGACCTCGGGGATAACCTTATGAACCATCACCCCGGTTTTTTGTATCTCGCCTCGTTTGTAGGCCTCGTATGCACGTCTTATTGCATCAGTCCCGTTAAATTGACCCGGGAGAGCAGGGTGCAAATTAATGACGTTTTTTGGCGCAAAATGGTCCAGGAATTCACTGGAAAGTATCAGCACCCATCCTGCGAGAACTATCAGGTCCGGTTCGTAGGCTTTTATTTTGCAGCCAAGTCGATATCGTATTCTATTCGTAATTTCCCCGCGTCCCTGTATGCTTGTAGCGGAAACACTAAAGTAGGGATGTTTGCTGCTTCTGCACGCTTTAAACCATATGCAGTGGGGCTTGCTCGAAACTACCAGAGTTATGGTTGCTTTCAGAGTTCCGTTCTTAGTGGCATCGATAAGAGCCTGAAGATTGGAACCGTAACCTGATATCAGCACAACAATTCGCGGCAACATTTGCGGAAAACTGCCGCTTGTAGTCCTTTTGCGGACTACGTTTTTTTGTTGGCGGCTGGAAGTTGCACTGCTGGCCGTATCTGGCGCAGCCAGCGCACGCCTTCTTGGCGAGATTAAACGATTTTTTTGGATTTTTCGGTGGCCGTCTAGTGGAAGGTACGTAATCGAGTTCCAAGATTTTATCGATCAGATATCAGAGAAAGAGAAAGAGAGAAAAAAAGGAGGTATTTGCGAAAATTAACTTACATCATTTTAATTTCTTCAGTTAATTTCTTTAACAATAGTCTTCAGAATTTTTTGACTTCTGTTAGTCAATTTCAGACAGTCAGATCGGGGAGGAGTAATTCCGTTAAGGTACTTATCAATAGTACGTGTGACAGTTGTTCAATGTTGTATTCGGTGAGTGTTCGATCCTCTATTAGCGGTTTGCGTAAATAAATTCTGGCCACT